AGGGCCAGGGCCTGCGAAGGCCACCTGCAAAGTTCCCGGGCTGAAGTCAGTGCCCTGGCCCAACAAAGAGACTATTTAAAAAAAGAACTTGACACTGTTCACCGAGAGCTTAAACATGCATATAGACTGCAAAGTGATTCTGAAAGGGAAATGCACACCACATAATTTCCCCTAACCAGTAGGCTGATACCTCCTAGTCAAGAATTCCCACTTCAAAAGGGGGGTGAGAGCCCACTGCTCAGGACATCACCTGCCTGCATCCCAGAACCCACAGCAGCAGCAAGGGGGTGGGACCCCTTCCAAAGGCTGTCTTCCAGTCACGGTGTGTCACCTAAAGAATTGGATAAGCTGGCTAGAAACATTCCCACTTTCACTCCAAACCCTGCAGGAGGCCACGCCGTGCACACCTACATAAAAGACTTTGACTTTCACTTGCAAACTGCTGCCAATGTTACCACACGAGACAGACTCTATCTGCTCAGGATCACCTCCAGCCGTGAGGTGCGGAGCTTTCTAGACTGTCAGCCAGAAACAGTCAAAGTGGATTACCAGCAACTGCAGCAGGCTTTGATTAAGTAGTTCTCTGACCCAGAGTCAGAGCAAGGACTGATTACTGCCATGGACCTTAAACAGGGCAGACAGGAAACCACACAGGCTTACTACAACAGGCTCAGACAGGCCTACTTCGGGGCACGGAACGAGCCAGGAATGGAAGATGATTTCAACTTCAAAACTCTGTTCCTCCGGAACCTGCACCCAACAGTGAGTCACGACTTGTGGGTTCTGGCTTGCCCACGGACGATGTCCAACCAACAGCTGTGAGATTTGGCCCATAAGGCCTATGCCAAACAAAGGACTGCTTCTGAAAAGACAGGAAAAACACCCACAATCTACCCTGTCGCTAATCAGAGTTCAGAACTTGCTCTAGAGGGCGCCGAGCCAATCCACAGTGAGAAACCTGTCAACACAATGTCAAGATCCTTCCCAGCCAGCAGAGAGCAGCAGGGCCATTGTGGTGCCTGTCCGAAGCATCAGTATGAGTGCCCCGAGAGATCCTGGGACAGGTCACAACCACCCCTCAACCGAAGGGGTGGAGCCACATGGGAAGCCAAGAGATGGCCCAAGGGGAACCGAGACTCACCGTCACAAGCATCGAGCTCGGACTGCCAGCAGCAGAACCCCTCTCAACAGGCCCTGGACAAGCCCAAATATAAACCATCCACAGAACAGAACCAGAAAGCTACATCTGAATCAGCAGAGATCATGAGACTTTTAAAGGAACTCCTCCAAGAAAAGCACCATAAGGGAGAGAAAAGGGATGAGTCAGATCAGTTATCAGTTATGATTAGATCTGACCCCAACGCCCACTCAGCGTCCTCTCAAAATGAACCTCCCAACCAGATCACAGATCACCCACTGTCAACCACAGAACCAGATATCCCATCACCAAGTGGTGACATCACTCAACCACCTCAGCTGACTGTGGAACCACCAGAACCAGCCAACATCCCACAACACACCTCCAGCCAGGACCGCAAAGTACCAGAAAGCGCGGTTTTGGTGGTCTGCCTCCCTGACGAGCCACACAAGACCAGCTCTGACTGCTTGCCAGTCACCACACAAGCCCCAGTGCCAAGACTCCTAGGGAACCTAATCGAAAAGGGGGTGGCCAAAAAACTCTACCTGGCCATCACATTAGAAAATGAGGTGAGACTGGAGGCCCTGGTGGACGTTCACCGGGAGCTTAAATATGCATATAGACTGCAAAGTGACTCTGAAAGGGAAATGCACACCACAGAATTTCCCCTAACCAGCAGATTGATACCTCCTAGTCAAGGGTTTCCAGTTCGAAAGGGGGGTGAGAGCCCACTGCTCAAGACATCACCTGCCAGCATCCCTGAACCCCCAGCAGCAGCAAGGGGGTGGGAGCCTTTTCAAAGGCTGTCTTCCAGTCACGGCGTGTCACCTAAAGAATTGGATAAGCTTGGCTAGAAACATTCCCACTTTCACTCCAAACCCTGCAGGAGGCCACGATGTGCACACCTACTTAAAAGACATTGACTTTCACTTGCAAACTGTTGCCAATGTTACCACACGAGACAGACTTTATCTGCTCAGGATCACCTCCAGCCATGAGGTGCGGAGCTTTCTAGACTGGCAGCCAGAAACGGTCAAAGTGGATTACCAGCAACTGCAGCAGGCTTTGATTAAGGAGTTCTCTGACCCAGAGTCAGAGCAAGGACTGATTACTGCCATGGACCTTAAACAGGGCAGACAGGAAACCACGCAGGCCTACTATAACAGGCTTAGACAGGCCTACTTTGGAGCACGGAACGAGCCAGGAATGGAAGATGATTTCAACTTCAAAATTCTGTTCCTCCGGAACCTGCACCCAACAGTGAGTCACCTCTTGGGGGTTCTGGCTTGCCCATGGACTATGTCCACCCAACAGCTGTGAGATTTGGCCCATAAGGCCTATGCCAAACAAAGGACTGCTTCTGAAAAGACGGGAAAAGCCCCACAATCTATCCTGTCGCTAATCAGAGTTCAGAACTTAGAACTCTAGAGGGCGCCGAGCCAAGCCACAGTGACAAACCTGTCAACACAATGTCAAGATCCTTCCCAGCCAGCAGAGAGCAGCGTGGCCATGGTGGTGCGACAGACTGAGAGATCCTGGGACAGATCACAACCACCCCTCAACCGAAGGGGTGGAGCCACATGGGAAGCCAAGAGACGGCCCAAGGGGAACCGACACAAGCATTGAGCTCGGACTGCCAGCAGCAGAACCCCTCTCAACATGCCATGGACAAGCCCAAATATAAACCATCAGCAGAACAGAACCGGGAAGCTACATCTGAATCAGCAAAGATCATGAGACTTTTAAAGGAACTCCTTCAGAAAAAGCACCACAAGGGAGACAAAAGGGATGAGTCAGATCAGTTATGACTAAGCCTGAGATCTGACCCCAACGCCCACTCAGAGTCCGCTCAAAATGAACCTCCCAAACAGATCACTGCTAATCCACTGTTAACCACAGAACCAGATATCCTGCACCACACCTCCAGCCCAGACCGCAAAGTACCATAAAGCGTGGTTTTGGTGGTCTGCCTCCCTGACGAGCCACACGAGACCAGCTCTGACAGCTTGCCAGTCACCACACAAGCCCCAGTGCCAAGACTCCTGGGGAATGGTTGACCAAAAAACTCTACCTGGCCATCAAATTGGAAAATGAGGTGAGACTGGAGGCCCTGGTGGACTCTGGAGCTGACCTCACTTTAATGTCAAGCCAACTTTTTGACACACTTCAAAGCGAAGCCAAGAGACAGAATTTAACTCTTAAATATCAGAGGTGTGTGCTGAATGTGCAGTCCTACAGCCAAAATGAGGTCCAGCTTGAACAGGTAGCTCCAATTCACCTGACCATCGGCCCTATGAGCTTAGTGCACCCTGTGTACATTTCTCCATTGGACACATATCCTCTCCTCATTGGCAAAGACCTGCTAGA